AATGCAACTAAGGGCATGTTTTGTTCATGCTTAACTTTGTGCTTCTACCACAAAGTGTGGTGAATAATATGACGACGACAAGTGTGACATGATTTGGCAAACCGAGCCTATGGTATGTGGACCATATCTACTATATCACTAAGCTCCCTATGGGTAAAAGGCCTCACAATCAATTGAGGTGTCCAATTGGAATTGGGTCACCCGGTTTTGACCAAGTTAAAAATTTCTGAAAGCTCTCATTCAATTCTTTTATATTATACACTATGCTTCCTAATTTTTAAGTCCTCACAATTAATTGAGGTGTTCAATTGAAATTGGGTTGATTTTGACCAAGTCAACAATTTCTCAAAGCTCTCATTCAATTCTTTTATACTATACACTATGCTTCCTAATTTGTAAGTCCTCATAGTTAATTGAGGTGTTCAATTGGAATTGGTCACCCGATTTTGACCAAAGTCAACAATTTATCAAAGCTCTCATTCAGTTGTTTTATACTATACACTATGCTTCCTAATTTTTAAGTCCTCGCAATTAATTGAGGTCTTCAGTTTAGAACATGGTCGCCTGAGTTTGACTCGGTTAATAATTTTTCAAGGAACTCTCCCGATTAATTATTTTCATTCACCATATTCCCTGATTTAGAAGCTCTTTTATTCGATTAAGATATTCAATTTTGAATATGGTTTATGATTTTGATTGGGCCAATGATTTTTCAAATTAACCGACACTTACCTGCTAGAAAAACATATCAACCCCGTGCACCCTCTTATCACCTAGAAAAAAGAAGCGTCGCCATGTGAATATACCTAACTAATTGCCATGTGATCTTCTTCCTGTGACCTCCAATCTACACTATCTCTCAAATGTGGACACTTAAGATGAAGAGGACGCGATGGCACTTAGGAGATTCACATGTATAGATTGTTTGGAATACTAGGTATCCAACAATATGGTTATCTATATGGTACTTAAACTTGTGTGATTGATCTGATTATGGTCATCATGGCATGCATCACAACTGGCTTGTCGAGGAGGCATACCTTCTCAAAGTCAACCATAGTTTTATGTCGAGAAGGATATAAGCAGACGTGTTCGTTGACACATTGTTTGATCCACAACATTTTTTTTGTGGTCATCCATTCTAGACAGGGTTTTGTGCT